TGAAAATACTGTTAGACAACCGTATTACTTGAGGATTAAAGCCATCGTGAGGTGACAACAATGGACGTCATTTTATGCTTTAAGAAATAAGAACAATGTAAATATTTTATAAGTATATTTTTTATCATTAAGATAATCAGTTTAGCAGTTTCAAAAATTAAAAGAAAATATATAAAATTATTTAATAGATATTAGGTATAGGTAAAATAATGCAATACCAGGACTATTATTTTTATTAATAAATACGGGCACGTCGAGTATTATTCGATTACAATGCAATGTGCGTTACTCAAAGTTTGTTACGTATCTTAGCACAGTATAAATACATCGTACATAATAATTGGAAACAAGTCCAGAATATATATCAGGCATGCTATATTTTACTATACATAACTCAATTATCATTTTAAAACTAATAATTAATTAATATGCAGTAAACCTCAAACAAAAAAATAAAATAATTGTATACATAACTATGCATATATATTATTAAAATAAATAATTCACATTTAGGTGTTTTAAAATAAAAACTAAAATAACAACATGCAATTTTTTATAATACTTTTCATGAATAGGTAAAATAAAATATTCTTGGCACAACTAGTTTTTGATTCTCCATAAATATTTACAAATTAATTAAAGTTGACATTTATCGTAATTTTTTGTTAACACGGTTTACCAATATATAACAGTCAAATACTTAAATTGGTTATTGCGTCATTCTAAACAGTTTTCACTCAATATTAATGTTCGCCAAATGTAACGATTTTTTCTAATTTATAAATAAAAACGATCTTGTTTTTTATTTAAATATGAAATATACATGTAATTTAGATATATTGTTTATTAATTATTGAACAAAATTATATTAAAATAATAAAACTATAGAATACAAATAAATAAAATGTAGATTAAGTAAAAATCGATCATAGAAAATAAAAAAACTCGAATACTGTTTTATTCACGGTCAATTTGTAAGAGCTAGACGGAACACGTTTTATCAACTGTTGAATTGTTAGTAATAAATAATAATAATTAGGAAATTTGAGATAAATAACTACATTATAAATGTATCACGGAAAAAATTATAATGTTTTTCTTTTTTTTATTTAGTTATCAATAACTGTAAATTTTTTTTTTTTAATAAAAATGTTTATATTAGAAAAAAAGTTGATTTTATAAACACACCTGTTTTATTAAAACCAAATGGACAGAAGGTTTTTATTTATTAACTGAATATGATTCCACACAGTAGGTAAGCTTTTTCACGAACAAAAAATATTGAAAGTATTTGAAAATGTTATGATACAAGATTCTATCAAATTAATAGTTAATTTTATTAATTAAATGTGTCGTGTTATTTAACGAGATTTTTTAAATACAAATTGAATACAGACATTTTTGTCGACATTTCTTATCTTAACATTTATATTACAACAAAAGAGTACGTGTATACGTTTTAAAACAAGACCGAAGATAATCAACAAAATTAAAAGGATTAATATCAAAAATATTAACGGTTAGAATACTCAATCTAAAATACATATTAAATATAATTTTTAAGTGACAACATATTGTACTACGATATCAGCATTTATAATAATTAATTTCGACACCAATACCTACATAATAATCAAAATTATTTTCATAAAGTATTTGTATTAGTCTTTTGAAGTCTCTTAAGCATAACAGTAGATTACGAATATTATTATGCAACCAATTACTAGTATGGGATTTATTAAGTGGACCATGCTGTGTGATGTATCACGTTACGAAAACAAATCTGTCTGCTCTATTTAAGCAGTTAAAGGTTACACTATGAAGGGATTATTTTTATAAACAGGGAAAGCGTTAGAATTTTCGCATAATACTTTCACGGTTAATGTATACAAAATAATAAGCAAATATTTTGCGACAACATTATTCGCGTATAGAAAATTATATAGAAAATCACTTTCTCTCTCTAACATAGGTATTAAGAATTAAAAAATATATTTAATTGTATTTTATAAATTATAAAAACAACACATAAAAAATATAACAGCTGTAACTAAGAATACCGTATATGTTTTATAGTGATGTATTTTTAAATTTAAAAAAAAAAGTTACAAAACGATTTTTAAATGATGAACCAACCATTACTATTATCGATATACATAGTATACCTATATTAGTATATTTAAAAAGCCAATGTTAAAACGACTTTACCAATTTATAAAAATCTATTACCTGTTAATATACACAAAATCTTAATAAAAGGTTAGAGTGGCTAATCAGTTATCTTAGGTTAGTTGTCTACAGAAATATGATAACAATTAAGTAACATTTTTTTTATAATGAGTAAACATGAAATTACTTAGTTTATAAAACTAGGTGAGCATCACAATCATTACTCGTAAGAACACGCATTGCATTGTTATATGCTCACACCCGAAATTTATATGAACATATAGAAGATACAATAAAAACGATAAAACACAAATAGAAAATTCTATCAATGATCGAGTTTCATAGAAAAATGTACGAAAATTCAAATTATAAAAAATTAAAAGTTGAATAAAAGTCAATATAATCTAACTAATCTAAATTCTGTGAATACCAATCCAATATTTAAGTTATACTTTTTAATTTTAAGTATAATAAATAATAATTAATAACTATAGGTGTGTCCGCGGATCAAATCTAGGCCGAATAATTATCTTTTTTTGATATTATAAACTTGTTAAATTGCTGGTAGATCATTATTCATTAATAAATCATACCCAATTTTAATAAATATTTTATTTTCTGTAATTAATAGCAACTATAAATACTGCAATACACAAAAAAAAAATGGATTTCAGTTTGTCGAAACAAAATCCAGAAGTAATCCTATCTTTAAATTCGAATTTTTTTTAATTGTTTTTTATCATCCCTAATTTAGTAAACCCTTACAATGTAGTTTCAAAGTACTATGAAAATTTCAAGTCTTTAGCTAGTTTGGCTGTACATTAAAAAAACAGTCAAATTTTTTTTTTTTTTTTTTTATCGCGTAATTTAGTAATTAATCATAATTAGTAATTACGTAATAACAATATTTATAAACGTCAAGCTTAATCTATACACCCTCCAAATAATAACGAATATATATTTCGAGATTCAAGAAGATTAGTCCAGTAATTTCTCTAGTGTCGAACTAGAGGGTAGAAGGCCTAAATTTCGCTCAATTCAACTATATTAAAAAATAATTGACAATAAACGTCATTATAAATGTTTATACTAAAAAAAAAAATTAAATATTTAAATTATTTATGTTAATTTCTTACAAATATATCAATTTTGAAATGTAATAAATTATTAGATCATTTTTAAACTTTTAAAATAAACTACAATCATTAGATTGCAACTTAATATTTAAAAATATTAATAAAATTTGTTTTTAAACCATTAACAAATTATAGACAGCATTTTTATAATTTTTTTTTTTATAGCAGCTAATTGCTGATAATTTCAAATGAAGTGACATAATCATAAACATAAAACATAAGTAAGTATTTATAATACTAACGTCCATACTCCATATATTATCCATGTATTTTATTTTACTCGAAGTAGACACTATACATAGGTAATAAAACCTTAAACACGTTTTTATACACAGGATCTATATTATAATATTAAGATGATTTCGACACATTTATATTATAAATATATTATACAACCTTGAATAATAGTTATTATTCGATCTTACTTAACAGAACAAAATTCTTCAATCAGCATATACTATTATATATATATATATATGCATACATTTAGAATATCATTTCTATTCTACGAAATTACAACTCATATATTTTAGTAACTAATGTTAATAATTACATAGATACTTAATGTAAGCATCATCAGTTTATGAGTAAACGTTTAGCTTATACAATAATATAATGTGAAATAGCCAAATCATCGAACGGGTACTACGAAGTATGAGTACGATATCTAATAATTTGGAAGTAAAAAATATCTTTGGAATGAGACAGTTTACTAAATTATTAATTTTTTTTTTTAAATACTAATGAAAAACATGTATATTAAGTTTTAAAGCTACCTACGAAGAAGATAAAATGGAAATCCAACATTTTAGCAAAAGTAAAATTACTAACGTATATAAAAATAAATAATAAATCAAAATTAGAACCACAATGTTAATTTTTTACTATTAAAATATTTAAAATACATAATTAACTAAATAAAAATTAAAAAACCTAATTTAAAAAAAAAACCGTTACTTATGAACGTTTTATTCAAATGTCTACGGATTTATGTTGCAGAGAGAACGAGATTCCAAACCATGTGTCAACCTTCTTTTTTTTAATTATACGAAAACATATACACATGTATGTTTCTATTCTCTAATTTATACAAAAATATATAGCTATATAAACACGTGCATATAAATTAAGATACGATCAAAATTAAAGCTGGCGAAACATATACATTGTAAAGTAAAAGAGTTATGGAAGTACGTTTTAAACCGGTATTAGGAAACCACACTTTATGATAAAAAAAAATGATGTCATCGAAAAGAGTACCTGTACAGGTAAATTGTTAGTCATATATAAATTATTTATATATAATATAATATAATATAATAATAATAATAATAATAATGAAATAAAACGATAGAACACAATCGCGATTGGAACCATTCAAACGAGTCGAATCCGATGATGTTTCGGTGTACTTTTCAATAAAGTTTTGTTTAATTATATTAAACAAAAGTAATAGATCCTCTTTCTTTACATGTAGGCATAAATATATTAAAAAGCAATTAAAGTCTAAAAACAACGAAATTTCACTTGATGTTTCTGAAAATTTTGTACTTGTGACTTATAACATGTGGACGCTAATCCAACCATCATAACACATATATCACGTTAATTATATTATGTATTGTGTCGGTTAGACATAAAGTCTTGTGCAATTCTTCCTACTCATCCCCCCCCCCCCCGGGGCGGCGTACAAACCTTCCGAAATGTCGAACGTACCTCGGGTCCCGCGGCGTCTACCGAAGGTTTCCTGGGCAGCGGACGGTTATTCTTTTGGACGGCGTTCAGCCACGCTTTGACCCGCCTGTTGTTGCTGGCGTTCCGTCTGTACGTCAACCGGCCACCGTTGGCCACCGCCGGATCTTGCTGGCCACCGTCACCGCCGCGTACCGATGACGGTCGTTCGTCGTCGCACAGGATCGTTGACCAAGGGGACGGCGGTCCGGCGGCTGCCGGTGGCGGCAAGACGTACAACATCATAGCACTGCGTATGTCGCGCGCCCGACACCAACGCTAAGCGCACTACGACAGCAACCGCAGCCACTCGTAAGTACGATAGATACGTGAATGGTGCGATAACAATGCGTCGAACGAACGGGAACTCAGCACAGAGATTGATAGCGGCCATCCGCGGTGGGCACCCGAGATGACGACGGGTTCATCTCGGCGAACGGGGGGGGGGGGTTGTTTAGAGAAATTCGATCGGAATACGACGACTACACAATGGAAGTTAAATGCGTTTACGATTAACAATTATTCGAAAAACTATCAAATCCGCACACGATTTATTTACACTCGCGCGCCGCGACCACACGTGTCAAAGCGGTTGATACAAGGTGGACGCACACGACCAAACGCAACGACAGTCACGCAGACGACTGACTGACGCACCGGCAACGACGACACGCTGCGGACCTGCGAGTTCAGCTGGACGAGGCCGCCGCCGCAAACACCACCACCGCTGCCGACGCCGACAATCGTGCTTTGTCGTCACCACACAGTGCGTGCTGTACGGAAATCGAGACGATGTTTCGATTTATCGCGGAGTTCGATAGTGACACCTTAATATCGTTATAATATTAATAGTAATATATTGTTTTCCCTTGGAAGATTTATCGAGTTTCTAATATTCATCGTTTCGGATTGATTTGAAGTTTTTTTTCTTGTTATTTAATTTGGTCGAGAAGCCTAAATGCGTTAACGCGCAGTTTATTATGTTTAATAATATGATCTCGTCTCAGGTCTCCATTATTTTTAACGGCTGTCGCGATTATCGCCACGTGATTTGAATGCGGAAAATTGCCCCTGTTGACGCCTGCCCCGGGGGAAACAAAAAGCTAACAAATAAATCGATTTTTTTTAATAAAACAAAGAAATATACCTAACAATAATAACAAATGATCTTTGTTGTGAGTAAAGTGAAATTTCAAAGTAACCAGTTTTAAAAATTATAACACGGATAACAATGGATACGCGTGAAACGTATTTATTATGAACTATAGCTACTGAATCATAGGCATAAAATAAAAAAATAGGATAATGACCAAGTATTCAAGATCGAGGTAGATAATCAAAATCGTGTTAGTTAGTTTTTATGTTGTCGTAAAAGACAACACAATAATATATTAAACTAAAAACGGTTTGAAATTATACTTATGACAACAAACTTAAGTACTTACAAAATACTACCTGCCTAAAGAATTCACAAAAAGTTTTAAAACTTATATTAAAGTAAGAATGAATTATAATGACTAGTGCTCATCACAACAATAGATAGACAAATATTTTTGGAATAAAATTTTGGTTGAATTAATCTGATAATAGTTTCTTATAGAGTATCTAAATTCTAAATACATTATTATGAGATCTATATAAAATAAGTAACAACGAAATCATACTAGGGCTAAATAAAAATGTTAAATAAAATATAAAGTAAAATTGTTTTAAAAACTTTCAAGTCTCACCTAGATTTAATCTTAAATATATAGTATATACCTACCATAAACCACTATAATAATGAGTTTAAGACATTATCTAAAGTGTATAAATATTAAATATAATGTAATATGACTAATAAACCATTTGTTTTCTTAAATTTAACAAAATAAGTATTACACTTTAATTTAAACAGATGACTTTTAAGAATTTATCCTTCATTTCTCATAACGGTTAGTGTTATAAATTGATTAGTTACTACATAGGTACCTGTATTGTAAAAATATTTCAATTATATTACCTATAAATAAAAATATATTTTTTATCTAACAAATTCTAATACCTACTGGCTACTGACTTAGTTAATAGAACATTAACGTTTAATTGTTTCACAGAAATATATCAACTTACATATTAAGCATTAAATTTTAGCTTTTTAAAACTTAGACTTAGTAAGTAAAGAATAAATATGTTATATTATATAGGTACTGATTTTATACATAAATGCTAATTCTAAATTAGGTATTTAAAGTCAAGCTGGTATCGATCTTATTGCAACAACACAAATCTTAACTTAAGTTACAATGATAAAACATAATATGATAGTTAATACAGTAAATCTATTTATGTCTTGTATTATTAAAATTAAAGTAAGCTTTATATCAGACCTGACAGCAATGGTGTGTACATAACTTTTAAAATTCAGAGAGAAGGTACAATTTGTGGAAAAATTTAACCAATCTCTGAAAAAAACAATTTTTAAGTATTAATCCTAAAAAGGGACATAAGAATCAGACATCTAAACCCTACTTGAATGCTTCCTAACAGAGTAGACCATAAAACTATGTATTAAATGAGTATTTTGTTAAATTTAAATTATTTATATACTATTATTTTATTATATCTATAGTAAAGAGTTTGTAACCATGAGTTATTAATTGTGATAGATAGTTAACACAGATACACCAAAATAAATTTTGACTGTATGATGTTATAATTTAACAATTACATAGATAATATATAATAAATAATAATTTATACATATTTTATACTAAATAATATTAAAATTAAAGTTATTAATTTAAGTAAAATGAAACAAATAATAAAATATAACAAAAACAAAATAATATATAATTAAACATGCAGGTAAATATTAAATATTTAAAACATTATAACTTGTGACCAAAAAAATAAATAAAATAGTAATCCATTGTCTAAAATGTAAACTTTAGTAGTCAAAAACATATTAATAATCTAAATATATTACTATGTAATATTAATATTTTAATTATCTTTTGAAAATGTAAAACAAAACATACACTGATAATTAACACATAATTACAACAAAATACACACCAAATCAGTTACACTGAATGAATTCTAGTTATTTAATTTTTCTAGGTCAATTTTGTTTACATATCTAGAACCTGTTACACTAAAAATCTCATTTAGTTTTTTTCTATTTAACTAACTATAAAGTGTACTTATATAATAAATAGTTATTATTTTATGAAATCATGAATCTTTTTACAGTAAATAGGTAAATACTTAATTAACATTTCTGTACAATTTTCGAATTAAAGGTTGACTTACAACTTGATAATTTTCTAAAATATTTATATAATATGCCCCTTATCAATTTTTCTAAATTAGTTACCAGAATATCTCAAATACACAAAAGAAGTACATTTTTTATCCTTCCAACTTATTATTTTTTGATTCAAATGCTGTTTTTATGATAATTATTGAAGCTTTAATAAAGTTTATAAGTTATAACTTATAACAGAGGTTAGATGCTATAAATATAAAACCAATAATCAAGCATTTAAGCATAATAATATTAGAATAAACATTTTGTAGTAAGTAACATATAGTTAATAATAAAATGTAATAATGAATTATATTATCAAAATGACTTTAATTACTTAAAAAAAAAATTCAAAAAAATTGACAGGTTGCTAAACTAGAAATATGTCATTACATCAATTAAACAAAAATCATTAATATTTTCCCCGTTATTCTAAATTTACAATTCGTATTAACATTAATAATAATACTAAATTGTTATAATTTATAATAGTAGTTTTTATAATCAATAATATTACATTTTTTTCATTAACTGAAATAATTAGATTGTATTTTATACAATATCAATTAAAACCTTATAGGTAATCATATTTCTATCAAAACATTGAAATAAATAGGTACTCTACAAGATAGAAAATGCATTATAACACTCATTTACAACAATTTAAAAAATAATATTCTATCAGATCAAATGAATAATTCAAAATTCACGCAGAAAAAATCATCAAATATATGTAAGAATAGAAATTAATTTTCTTAACTTTTGTTTACCTACCTAAATCAAAACAGAAAATAACCATACTCGTTTGTACTAGTTTCTTACGAACAATATCTATCAATCACCTTGTTGTATCTAGAATTTTATATTGAATCGTATATTCTTATTTGATGTAAGGTACTCACCGAATTCTGTTGCGAAGTCCCTAAAGTCGGAGACGTCTGTACGGCGGCTAAAGCCATACACGCCCGCTGTGGTCTTTGTTTTGTCCGACAATGGCGAAGATCGACGGACCGTAAACTAGTTCAAAATGTTCGATGTAACTCAATGTAGATAAACGATGGATTCGCCGTTTAAAATCCAACACAAAACACGAAAACGACCGACGAACAAGCAATATAAAAAACATAAAAAATATTAAAATGTATTACTAACTCATAATCAGGAAAACATGAGCGAAAAAGTACGGAAAAGATAACAACTTGTGGTTACCGTGGTTGCAGTGCCATCTATTAGACTGTTCAAAATGTTACTGACGTAGTTGGTTTGTGGATCCCTTGATAACGACTCTTCAACTATACGTCAATCGTCCACTAACAATTTGTAGTACAAATTTTGTACGGCACCCACTATATAAAACTATTTTTATTTTATTTACTTTGTCATTAATTTTAAATAATTGATTTATTTTCAATGAAATTACGAATAGAACATCGGCACATAATTACGTATTATTATTATAATTAAATTTTACTATTATACATGTATTATATGTTTATTATGAGTACGAGACTTGAATCATAATATACTATTAATATTTGTGGTAATAATATAATAATGAATTATAAGAATCGAATAATTTGTATGGTTACATTTTCTCATATACAGATAAATATTATGTAGATAATAATATACCTATCATCGTATATTCGATATCTATCTGCATGGTGTATGCTCTTCATGAGTCCACCAAACAGTCATAAATACTTAAAAATAATTAATCGTGTCTAAAGATGACTAACCGTCGTAACCGATTTATATTACTTGTTGGAAATGTATATGAAAACTATAAAAAATCAGACTTTCGTCGTTAGTCACATAATAATATTACAATAATATGAATAATATAATATTACGTACCTATATACGTTACCTATTGTGGTGCAATACGAATTATAGAACGGTTTTTAAGGGATTTGCGATAGGCAAATTAAAGGTTGAGAAATTAATAACTTGAATTTTAGAAACATATATTACATTAATTATACCAATTACACCTACATGGCAACTAAAAACGACGAATGTGAAAAAATGCTGTTTGAATATTAAATAATCAAATTTCTGAGAATTTGTGTATAAAATAGGTATAGGTGACATATGGTTACAAACATGACTACACAATCTTACCTTCAACTTTCAAATGTCACCCAATGCGTAATCGTCAGAAAATTGGCAATGGAGATTCAATAGTTTCATCATACTAATTAGTGATAAAATTTGTAAATTATAATTATGAATGTACAAAATAAGAACAATGAAAAAAAGTTTGGAAAGGAATATCGTTACACTGTACATAAGGATCACTATTATAGCCTATAGGTCTGTTAAATTTGAATTCAATAATATAAGTATTATTTTATACAAAAAATGATTCTAAGCGGAAATAGTTTGTCAGCTTGTATCAACAAGTATATTTCACGATATGAGTTTTTAATATAGCAAATTTATTTTACTTTAAGTATTTAATTGTTACAATAATGTATGTTTCCATACATGTTATATTAACTTATATAACTCAAAGTTTAATTATATAAATAAATTTAAGTTCCCACGAATATAGTTTTTAGATCATAACAAAAATTATTTAAAAATCGTTATTTATTGTTTAAATAAGTAATTTTTTACAAATTGGTACTTCAAATATCTATAAACAATGATTGTCTTTACATATTTTTTAGATTGTATGGTCTAGTATGAAGTAGTTATGAAAAATCTTATATTAAATTGTTAAAACTTAAATAAAAAAGGAAAGTTTTCATGATTTTCTTACTACAAAATAATTTGCTATTTTTACAATTTTGACGAATTTCGTGCCTATATATTTTTATAATTTTTATACAGATGTGAAAAACTGAAAACAACTTATGTAGGAGCTTGTATTAAACTTTCAAGAGTTTTGATAACTTTTATAAACAATTATAAAAAAACTAAAAATAAAAATTGAATTTATCTTGTCTATAAAAAATAGCTCAAAGAGAAATAAATTATTTTGAAAATTTTATTTTATAATAAAATGTTAATAACAAAAACTGTAAGTATTTACTATTTAAAATACAATAAATTTTCAAAAATTGTTTGAGGCGGAATAATTATTTTTAGGTGAATAACGAATATCGTAAAAATTCATGTTTCTTTTTTTTACATTTTTCCGAATAAAAATAAAAGTACTAAGCATTTTTTACTTTTGAGTTTTGACTTTAAAAGATATCAACAAGATCCAATTTTCTACTAGAAATTACTCTTATTAGTTATTTTTTAAAAGCGATGCATTTTATCAACTACTTATAATGGATACAAAAATAACCATAAATTATTGTCAATTCTGTCAGAATCTAAAATAAAACAAGAACCATACAAATCTATAATTTCAGGGATTTCTTAGATTTGATAAGCAACAACACAATACAATTTATTATTTAATAATTTTTATGTACTCGTGGTCAGTGATGCGTCAACAATTTAAACAAAATGATTTGTGATCTTGTGGATAAAATAACGAATTGCAGCGACAATCGATTCCTAGGTCTATCCTAATGACAATTTCGCAATTAACCTTTATGAATATGATATGTTATAAGAAGGTCATGTTTAGGTAATAGACATTGTGTTATACATATATCATACTTAATTCACTCCAACCTCTTACAATTTATCTAAGAATTTCATTCAACCAAAACCTAACAGTTGGGTTTATTTTTTATTGATGTATTTAGACACATCTAAGCAATCAACATATTATGATTTATGATCAATTCAAAAGTATAATAATTTCATTTCAAGTTTATGAATTATGTTAGTCAATAAATGCATCCATAACAATTAATTGTATCAATAAAAAATAATCCTTTACCACAAAAGAATTAATACAAAATATTACATTTTTAGTTTAAATTACAAAACAATATACTTACTCGTAATGTCCATGAATATTGTATATTATGTTTTAAATATTGAATAGAATATATTATTATATAACTATGAATACATATAGTACCTATATAACAATTTATAGTGCAAATTATAAAAATAAACTGCTTTTTTAAATTATTTTGGGTTTGAGAATTGGAATACACAGTAATTAAGATCATAAATAAATTATAACAACAGTTTTCAAATTATACAAGAGATTTTAATTAAAATTAAAATTTAAACACAGTATAATATTATATAATAATTAAAAAATAAATTATAATTACTTATAACAATAAGTATTAAAACATAATAAATGTGTAGACGGTAGAATAATAATAGGCTAACTAAGTTTAGTTCAACCACAGCGAAACCATAGAATAGGAAAGTATGACTGATTATAATATATAGTACTATTAAATGAGGAACAAATAAAATTAGGAGAATAAAAACTAATATCTGCCCAACAACCCAAATTGTAAACTATCCTTATTATATAATGAAAAAAAAAGTGTGTGAAAAAGATATTTTTAATTTTGTATAAATATTATGATATGGTATATAAATATAGTATACCTATAATAATAATAATAATAATGTAATTATAAAAATATGTGCAAACCCAACAAGCATTTTATTTTTTTAACAAAATATAATTGAGTTTTATTATTCAGTTATTGATTAAAACATATTAAAATTGTGTATATTTTATCATAAATTTATTTTGTGATTTAATGAAAAATAGTGCCACCATTAAAAAATGTGTATTAGAAAAATTAATGACAATAAATGTCATGTTTTAGTATAAACTTGTATATAAATGAATCTACTTTTGTGCAAAAAAAATGTAATTTGATTGACAAATATGTAAATTTGCTGAATCAAGTGCGAATAATCCAATATTAGATAAACAAATTTATTTAGAATTTTGATATGTATGTGTAAATATATATATATAATATATATACATATATAATGTGTGTATATGTATATCTTTATTTTTGTACTTTTTTATACATAGGTTTAATCAAATTTTATATTCTATAATAATAATTTACATAGCCATTCATTATTTCTTAAAAATAACATAATATTTGGTTCTCTCTTTTTAATAAGTTAGGTAATAAACCATCAAAATGTATAACTACTAACAAATAAATACTACAAAATAATGTATCTAAACAAAATAAAACCGAAAATTCCTAAAGACTTAAATAGATATAAATATACAATAAAAAGCCGTTAAGTTAAAAAAAAAAAAAAATAGTAAATCACATTTCAATTACATATAATAACAGCTAATAGGACACACAATAGCAATATATAAAAAATAGAGGATGGATTTCATAGTTATAATATTTCAATATGTTTAAGTACAATAATCACATGTTCTCAATATAATAATTATTATTGCACAATTTATAATTAAGTTTTTTGTTACATTATACAATTTGTAACTTCACAAATTCATAATGATTATCAGAATATGAGTACTTGACACCAGAATAAAGAAAAATTGGTTTACATTAATTTTATAAATTTTGAACAATATGAATAACAATAAGTATTGGTCTTTATTATTAGTCAAAAATTAAAACTTTTGTTATAATTTTTAATGCAACATAGATGTATAAAAGAAGCTCATAATAAGTTTAAGAACACTTAAATAAAAATGTGAAGTAAGTGAAAATGACAATATAATCAGACTAATTAAATTAAGGACCAAACTTTTGAAATATAAATCAGTCTTTCCCAAAATATTGAAAAATATTGGTCTACAATTAACATATTCCTTTTATAAGTACTCAAAGTATTTCTGTATTACATACTATTTATTATTTATTAAACTTTCTTTAAGCTTAAAATATGATTTGAGCCGTTCTATCGCATATTCCTGAAAAAATAAAAATAATATGTATTATGGTAAGTGTTAAGAGGATGTCAACACACTGTTCGTTTTCTCTTTCTAGCCCATCTAAAATATAGACTTAGCACATTCGTATAAAATCTTTTTTTTTTAATTTTGCAATTATCAAGTAAAATCACTCATAGTCATAATTAATTTACAAAATGTATTTTTATTTCTTAAATCAAATAATAATGTGATATAAAACTAATAAAATTATGTTAATCTTTCAAAAATATTATTCTCTATAATTTTTATAAGAGAGAACTTTATTTTAAGATTACTTAAACATCACAAAAATCCCATCAATTTTACATGAATGTGTTTTATCAATACTACATAAGAGTTAGAGAGAGAAAACATGTTGTGTAAATATCTTTTTAAGAAATAATTTTAAAAAATTAACTAAAGTTTTGACTAAAAATAAAATGAGCTATAAATGGTTATAAATAATAAAATAATTTTATTCATTTATTTTTATTCATTTAAAAGAAAAATACAAATTAAATGTAAAAATATTCACCCTATATCCAAAAGTAATTTTAGACATTTTACTATTGACAATGCTCCAAACACCCCAGAATAAATGTGATGCCAAAATAAAGTGATTTACTTCATTAAGTAACAATTCTATTGATTCTTTATTTTCCGTACATTGAGAATACCGCTTTAAGAACTCAATCTATAATAATCAATAACAATTAAATAAAAATTGGTTAGTAAATTAATTTTAAAAAATCACTATTTACTTGTTGGTCTTTTGTTGGAAACAATTCTCTGTTAACTGAGTAATGTGGATAAATGGGATTTGTGTAATCATAAGTCCATTCTATAAAGTGGTTAGCAATATCAAAACCACGATAATTGTATGCACAATATTCATAATCAATAAGACATAATGATCGACAGTTAGGGTCATTTTCCTTCATTAAAATATTGCCCTCTTGAAGATCATTGTGACAAAATACAACAGGCGACCTCAATTTCGACAAATGTTTTCTATAATTGAAATAATAATCATTATTCAAATATTTTTAACATAAGATTTAAGTTAAATAAAATATGGGTTAAATTCGTACTTAAGCCAGCGGGCTTCATCACAGAGATTAGTGGATAGTATCTGATCAAGCTCCATGTTGTCTCGTAACCAGTTAATATCTTTAATTGGTTGTTGTAACCATCTGTCCATGGTTTCCCATAACCATGTTGAATCTTTATTGATTGGAATGTTGAGCTGATGTAATTCAGCCATTTTTTCTGCAATCATAAGGCTTAATTTTGGATCGCTCAACTCTTCAGATTTCAATGATCGAGCCTGTAAGATGTCATAGATACACAATATATATAATTTACTTTATATAATAACTTAATTCCAAACGAATGTCGTTTTTAACACTAGTTGACTTCTGAATGAAGTATTGGACGTTTTATTAATTTGTGTACTTGTTCTAAATCTAGGACAAAAATACATTAAATTTGAATAAAACATCTTATACATTAAAGTTAATGTCTCTAAATATTCCTAGCAAGTGCTTAATGTACTCAAAGCTTAACTTACTGATCAGCTATGACTATCATCATAATTTGTATACTGTTGGACTTGACCCATGAGTCTGAAATTTATGCCCAACATTTAGAACAATAGCAACATATCCAAAAGCCGTTGGAATATGTTATGTCAACGTCATTCAAGCATGTTGATAATATTGTATATAGGTATATTTGCATTTTTTTTCATTTAAAACCCAAGGACGAGAACTGGTAAAATGACAGCAGTGGGCCTAAATTTTTAAATAGCCTACATTGAATGAAATGTTTTATTTATATCTATAGCCAAATGGCAAGGAGCCACAAAAAAAAAATAAAAAAATGACTATCACTTAAAATTTATCTCAGTATTCAGTAACATTAGATGATTCAAAGGTTAGGTTATTAAAAGTATATATATATAAATATATTGTATATATATTATTGTAATTGTAGATAGCAAAATCAATTAAATCAATTTTTCAAAGATTTTTGTTTTATAACTTAATTTCAAAAATTAGTTATTAATTGAAACAAAATAATGGTATTGGTGTAAAATAAATACATATGTGCATAGGTACAATAATTATAATAAAAATTTGTTTTTAACATTTTTTGTAATAAATCAATCATACTATATTATATTATTGTAATATGTGCATTTAATGTATCTACATCTAAGATTAGAAAAAATAAGCATAAATTGTAGCTAATACAAAAATTCAGATGATAATAATAAAAAAATATTATTAAGATAAATTTTATTTATCATGTTTTTGAAACAAAATATTATCATTATTCATTTATTTTAATTACAATTTATTATCACATGCATAATTTTTACAAGTTACGCGTAATTACGTTGGTTTTTGTATAAAAGGAATTGAGTATATTAAGTCTTTACAAAGATTTAACCTTTACAACAACAATGGCGTAATCTAATAATTTAAAGTAAAAATAATAATATTTAATATTAATTAAAAACATTCACATATTCGATTGTGTATGTATATTATTAATGTTTTATACACATTTGCTAGATTAGGCACTTATGAGTTAAACATCAAAAGAACGTTATGTGGTTTAAAGGTAGATTTAACTTAGAAAAAAAATAAACTTGGCTGTATTTTATTGGTTGTTACTCTCATTTATACGTTTAATTGACATTATTTTTTTTTTCATGGCAAAATAAACATTTTATTCACTTCATATTAAATTAACTAGTTCGATTAAACAAAATTACATGGTGACTACAAAATGCATTAGCGAAGGTGAACGAGCTTACCGGAATGTATTCTTCGAGACGACCTCCGGGGAATATTCCATGCAATTTAGGCCCTAAACCACGCTCTGACAGCAATGTGAATATTACAGACTCTGTAATTATATTTTCAATAGCATTCTCGCCGTGTGTTTGCCCATATAACCTCATCAATACATCCCGAGGTTCGGCATTACCTTTAAGTAATGTCACCTGATACAGCCAATTACTCAATCCACCACTGTAAAAACAAAAACTCTTTTTTTATATGAATTATAATTATGTATTCTATAGATACGATAACATTAGAAAGCATATTGATGAAAGAAAAAAGAAAATTTATGATTTTTGGTGCATAGTCATTTAACTATACACTGTTAGGTAAAGTTAACTTTTAAAATAACAATTTAAATGTTATAAATATTGTGAATATTTAGAGGTAGACCCATAGAATATCGTGATAAAGTTTTTTAAACGATTTTTTTTACATAATCATTAATTATGTAAATTATACAAGTTTGATTTACGGAACGAAAAGCAGTCTGCTTAAAATTTCAATTTACCTAATTATCATACAGAGGTATTAGGTAAGTACTATAAATTAAAAAAGTTTGGTTTCCTGATAAAATAGCAAATATTCGAAAATATTTTAGGAATGAAAACAGTGTAAAAAATTGAAATTTTCAACATCAAGAAAATTATTTTTACTTTAATTATTTTACTTTAAATGTTTTTCTACTGCTATTTAGTCACATAACTAATGTTGCTTTTATTCATATAATTAACTATATACTGTGTGTGAAATAAATTAATAATAATTTATTCAAAATTTTTAAATAGGTATAAGTTTTAAAATATAAAAATTTAAAATCATACAATACATTTTAGATGAATATTGTTGGGCTTCAATGCAAGTTCAAATAAAACAATTTTAAAAATTATACAGAAGAAGCGGAATAGTATCACTGTAATCTCATCAGCAAATATTGTAAGTAAAGTCATCATTGATTTCTGATTTCTGATTTTTACGAGTCTGTAATATTATTGTTAATCAATAATATTATGATATTAATTTATCGGATTTAAATTACAATAAAAGCACATTGAGCCTCGTTTACACGGTTATATTTGATGACCGTTTAAGATAACCAATAATGAATGAAAAACAAATTATAGTAACATAAAATCATCAAAAATTAAAATCCATATTGAACGATGAACGAAGTTAAGCAGTATTAATGTTGAACTTTTGTTTACTGTGAATGAGTGAATGATAGATCCAAAACACTAATGTAAGCTACATAAACACGACTTATATTTTATACCTAATGTAACAATACTTGTTAAAAAAATTATTAAAATATTAACATGTACCATTGTATACACAATTATACTATATGGCTTGTTAGACAATAATGATTTATATTTTATAATTTATCTTTTTTTTTTTTTTTACGCCAAAATATATATTTAAATTTTATAATATATGCACAACGCATATTTGTTTGTCACCTGGCGCCTAATAGCTTTAATACGCCAAATACATATACGTGGTTGACTCCAAAACACACACGTCTTCTGTTATTGCGTCTCAGACAAATCGTGGTCTCCTGTGAATCAATATTATATGTATATATACATTTTTATATTATATATAATATACTAACACGTGACTGAAGAAAGAATGAAACCTCGTAAAATTCCACCGCCACCGGTTATTTAATACTGCGTCACACTAACCCACAGTAGTGCAACCCTTCCCCCATTCAGTCACTAAGCAACGAATTTGGTTTGTATAACTATAATACTATACGACGAACTTCACAAAATAATATTATGACTGCATTACTTGGACCAAACATTTACGTCAGAATAAGCATCATTGTATTCAACAATATAACAATATTATGTATTATTATTTTCATTATTCAAACGAAATTTATATTAACATAAAAGTACATAAAATTGCTAATAAAAACAGAAAATAAATATAAAACATTACTGCGAATGGTAGGGCAAAGAGTTTAAATTTTGATTATTATATAATAACTTGCTTGAGTACACCAAGTTATAAGAAAAATATTTGAAATTTTAAAAGCTCAAAATAAAAATTAATCTATGTACGTATACAGTATACACATATATTATATTATGATAAATAGTCCATAAAATTAGGAGGAATAGAGTATATTTAATATACGTTAGCTAATAAAATACAGGAAAATTAGTAATTTTTAGTTTAATAATTTACATTATTATTTATAACTAGTAAATTCATAGAACCTTAGTATTATTTTTCTGAGAAATGTAATTATTATATTTTTATTACCGATTTTTTTTTTTTTTTAATAGAAAATATGCATTTTATATTTTTTAAATTTATCATATATTAGTATATTACAGTACACAAACATATTACTATTTACTACCGTTTATCATACACTTTCTATGTTGATCATGTTTTTGTGTTTTATTTTTCATAGAAAATATGGTCTAGAGTAGTCCACATTCTGCAATTTAATATCAAATTGAATTCTTTGATGATTATAGCATTACTAACATTTATGATTGACAAAAACCATAGATAATAAAGAATTATTATTTATTATCTATGACAAAAATCGTTACCTAATTCGCTTTACGCATATGTCCTTAACTGTAATTTTCTTCCAAGATCCAGGTAAGTAACTTCTGCAAAGTCTAGTCGCCATTTCAAACATGTCGTTGTATTGTGTAAGACCCTAAACAAAAAAATCACATTATGTAATTATTATTTAATAGTATTAAAGAAAATACATACACAATATACATATCTTATATTAATGAGAAAGAATGGTATAACAGCCAACAAGTAGGTACATACAAGTATGTATTTTATCATATTAAATGTTGTAAATAAATAAAAGAATATCAATTCATCTATAGAATAACTATTTAATTAAATATATTCAGTATAATTTTTCAATAAAATAAATTATGCAGGACGTGATTCATAGGTAGAAACTAAGATAAGAAAAATAGTTCAAAGGCTATTTTACAGTGTGTTCACTAACAAATAAAACAACTTATAGGTATACATTATAGTTTATAATATTATAGCAAACGCTTAAAAGGAAACATGAAAACAAAATTTAAAGTTATTTGTTTTTGTCCCAAAGTATAATTAAATGCATATCCAATACCGATTATATTAAGTAGATTGTAGATACCCGTACTATGTTAATTTTATTAATTTGCAAGAAACAATAATTATTATCACGTTTTTCTTTATGCATAATACGTACATTATTTCGAATAATTTATTGTATTGGCGAAAAACATTAATTATAAGCAGTTAATTCATATTCAATTTTCAATCCATTTTCTTAACTACAGTTGATTTGGATGAAAGTATTAAGTTTTTTATTGCTTTAAAAATAGACTATAAACAAAATATTTAAAAAAAGTATGAACCTTGGTAAAACTGTATAGTTAAAAATCGAATACTTTAAAAATAACCTTGATATTTCGAAGAAAATATTCTTTGGAGTTGGTTTCTAGTAACGAATTGGATTTAGTTGGTAATTTGGAGGGTCAAAAGTTAAATATTTTCAGTATTTTTCCAAAAAATCAATATTTGACAAAACTTTATTAAATTAATGTAAATCTACAATGATTAATTTTAATAAGTACTTGAAGTGTTTATAACATTTCTATATCAAAATTTTAAGTATAAATTAGGACAAAAATAGATTTTAAATGAAGAATAACAATTTTAGTTATTTTGTTATAATTTAAAACATGTTATTGTTGATATTTAAAAAATTGAAACAGTTGAAATTTTTAACCTACCAGTATATATTATTTTATTTTATAAAACACAGTGTTTTAATCAAAAATTAGTTCAACCTACTATACTACCAATGGTAAAATAATTTTTTGAACAGGCAATATATATATATATATCATCTAATATAATAAGTAATAGAAACTAATCGTTTTTAATGTGCAAAGATTTATGATTAAATTCAAATTTAACTGGAATTTTAACCTTAAGAATTAAACAAAATTTTGCAATAGGCAATATTACTTATTTATAACCAAAGTAAAAGAACTTCGGGATTTTTTGTGATTAAGAAAAAACTCCGGTAAGTACCATAATTTACGTAATTTGATATCAAACTATATACAAATTATTTTACAGTACTATTTTAATTTTTAAACAATATTTTAGCTAGAGATTATACATTGATTTAAGAATTATAAAAATTACTTACCTAAGAAATGATCGCTAATGTAAATTAGAGAAGGACATTGGAAAAAATTAGCTTTTTGCTTTATCGCATAACTTGCGACTTGCGAGTAAAATTACAATTTAAATATTAAAAATAATTTTTATTAGCATATCAAATCAAATATGTCTATTGCTATTATATAATAAAAAACTAATCAAAATAGTCTGTTCTCTTTTAGTACATCTATATTTAACAATAATTAATATTTTATCGCTGAGTCAATACTTAAACAATATACGCATGGGTATCTCTACACATAACGTATTAAACGCCGGGAATATCTAATAAAGAATATCATCAATATTATATTAAGTTAAGAAATTATAAAATCAAAAATAAAAGAAAGTCAATCTCAAGTAAACTTGACAACAAATTCAAATTTATTTTTAAAATTCTTATCACTTTATTATATCAATCGGTATGTTGGAAATAAAATACGTCTTTAATCATAAGTTGCGCGCATATTAAACAAAGACAGAAAATCACTGCTTTCCCTTATACAAAATTAATAAAATATGTTTGTTTTGCTTACTTAAAAACATAAACATGTTGATTATTTTTATGACGTGTTTAATATAGACGTATCAACATGCAAAAACAGACTACATTATAAATACTTTTTATGTTATTCGCATATTGAAATTTTAAAATAAACAAAAAAAGTTTATTATTTTAAAACGAATACAAATTTTTGAAACGACTAATTCACAAGGAAGTAATTCATCAATTAATTTTATATTGACCTAGGTAATAGTTATTCAAAATACAATGGCCTTGCGATCAGTATTAACTGTTTTACAATACGAAGGGCTTGCCAGACATTAAATGTACTACCTATGTACATTATATTATATCTATATTAAAGGGCGTGCCAACAATATTGTTAATTTTGTGTACTTCAATATTATTTAATATAAACTCTAAAAACAAATAAAATAAACATAAATATAATTTTACAAGTATTCAGAGTTAAAATACATATTTAGATGTTGATGACAAATGATAAACAAATAAAAATATCTCATTTTTATATTTTAACCTATTTGTGTTAGAAAGTTAAGAATATCTGATTTGCCTTAGTTAAAAAAATCGTTTTATAATAGGGACATTTTTATCTTAACTATTTTTAATTTACGGTGTTAATATAATAAATTGTATTTTTATCGTCATTATAACTGGGTAGGAGCTTAATTCATTTTTATTCGATGTGAAAACAGTCAGAGGTGTATTTTCGATTTTGGCGCCCTTTTTTTCTACTAAAAAAAAATTATCAGGGAGGGGGGATCTGATCAATTTTTACACATCGGTGATTTATCTAAAAAAAAAAAGAGTCAATAGATAAAAAAGCTTAGCCCAATAATATCTTATTTTTTTTTTATAATATTTTTCTAGCGCAATACTCCCTTTACAATTTGGTGCCCGATAACAATTGCCCCCTTTTTCCCCCACCCAAATACGCCCCTGAAAACAGCTACAAATATTAACCCTACTTAAAACACTCGTAATATTCTAGTCGTTTCCTGCTGCGTAAAACAAATTCTATGCAGTTTTAACATTATAACATTATTCATTAATTTTTTAATCAATAAAAATACATTTTAAACGATAAAACCGATGACTCATTACCGATGAGTGACAAGCAATGACAAATACCAATAATACCATATGAATATTTTATCGATGTTTCCATTTAAACTTGCCTTGATCGATGAAGACTTGAGTTCTCCAATTGTTTATAGCAATAATAATAAAGTATTAACTTATTACATATATATTTTAAGTTATAACTTAGAAAATTACAAGAAAAATAATATATTATTATACATCGCACAAAATCAATAAATAGATATTTCGACTTCCGCAAGGCTATCAACCGAAAATATAGGTCACCGCCTCGCTTAATAATCGTATCTAACTTTCACGCGCATTCGTCGACCATTGGCGGGGAAAATTTTCGATTTTTTTCGTCGTCGAGAGTCCCAAATTTTTCATTAATGTCTCTGATGATCAAAAATAGGTAATCGTCTGTAGATAGGATGAATGACCTAACCTGACGACGCCGGTAACGGGTGAAAAAAAATTAACACAAATCAACCGGAACATGGAAAAGAATTAAAACGCGAGTGACGAGATGACGTTTTGGATTTGAAGCTGGAGTTCAGGACAATACGGCGCCGGTCGCGCCGGCGCGCTGCTCAGAGCCGGAGGTTCTCAAAATTCACCTCGGCGGCTCGGCGCTTACACTAGACGCCTTTACCCTAACGACGCCGTACCCACACGTTGATCATTATCAATTATTATCGTCCGTCGTCGTTGTCGTAGTCATCGTTATTATCGTTATCGTTATCGCTGTTATCGTTATTACCTGTTTGTCGGCACCGTTAACACCCATTTTGCCGACAACCACTTTGTACAAGCGGACGGCCACGGCGATGACGAAATTCTTGGTCTTGACGATGTTCATCCGCCGGACGAACGGACTTACGTTAGACACGAGTCGCTTCGCGTCGAACATGAAACGTGCACGTGTCGTGTATTGCAGCCTGGCGGGCGGCCAACGAGATCGGATCGGACTCCTCGGTCCTAAAATAATTACCACCGTCCGCAGGTACAACGGATGCTACGGACAGTACAATATAACGCCCGGTTTTGCCAAAACGTCGACGTCGGATTTAGCGCACGCGTGTGTGAATACAAAAAAAATGATGACGACACAACCGTGTTCGTTTTGTGTAAAACGAAAAATAGACGAAAAAAATTTCTAGAATATTAATTAACGAACAGTCATTAAACTTTAATAAGCAGTTGCGTTGGACGGGAGACGGTGCGATAACGACGGACGACCGTTGCGATAAGCGGCTGGAACGAAATTGATGAAATGAACTACCAAGTTATGCTCGTGTAGGTACGTTTATATTGTAGTGCGCGCGGTCTGCAATACACAGCAGCAGCAGCTGTCTGCATATCCAGTTTGCGGTGATGCGGCCGAGGGTGGCGGTGGTGTTCGTGCGTACGATGGCCGGCGGTGTGGACGCGGGCGGCCCTGGCGCGTACGCAAGGAATCTGCGTGCCGTTTATTGAGACACGTAGGACGTGCGTGCGCAGCGCGACCGGGCCGTGCGGCCAGCGGCGCGTTTAGAGCATGTCAGTACACTTGTTTTCTCTAGCCCACGCGTAACATTGACAAAATACGGCCGCGAATCAAAATGCATTTGCGCAGAATCTTTTTTTCTTTTTTTTTTTTTTTTGTTGATATTTTTGAGTATAATCACCCACGACAAAAATCATAGAAAATAATATTTTTGAGCATGTGATTTGTCTAGCTATTGTCTCAAAACAATTTTAAACATTGTTTAAATTTATAATTTTTTTTTTTTTAATTTTCAAAGTTAAATATCAAGTCAAATAATAATAAAATATAAAATCGATATGTTAAGCCCTTAAAAATATTATCCTCAGTAAGTTTTGTAATATGTGTTTTTACTCTATGATTATTCAAAAAAATGATTCGATTCTGTGCAAATGCGTTTTGTCTGTGTTACGCGTGGGTCAAAGAGAGAACATTAACATTGCGTTGACATCCTCTTAAGAACACGTCACACCGGCGATGCCTCTGTTAAACCGTCCATCCGTCCCTAAAGTATATAATATTAATACACTATAAATTAAAGGGCTCGAAACAACGACCAGATAAATCGACTTTTTACAATTGTTCTGGACTAATAAAACGTATTTAATTTTATGATTAATCAATTCAAAAATGATAAGATACAACAAAGTTACAAGATACAACTAACATGTTGATTATCAACATGGCGATAAATAATACTATAGACTTAAAATGTAGTCAAATTTTTATTATCTTGGAATAAAATTAGTTCAAAGTTATGGGTCCAGTGGGTTTATCTGGTTGTTGCACCAAAATGTATGTAATTTTATCTAATATCTTACACAATAATTCATGAAAAAGTGAATTTCAGAAAAATGTGGATTTACCTAATTATTGTTCCAAACCCTTAAATTACAATTATACGTGGAATGTATAAGTAGTAGCCGGTAGGGATGAATTTGAAAAACAAGCTCGCGTCCAATAAAATTATCAATTTTTTAATTGATATAAATGTATTCTTGATGTAGATAATGTTTTATAGATCCTTATTATTTTTTAAATGACAGCATATATGTTTTTTTATTTCATATTATGAAACAGAATTTTATAATATTTTTGAAAAATGAATATTCAAATTTTTATTTTTATAAAATGTATTTAAATATAATATTGATAAATGATAATTAGAAGAAAATAAAATTGGTAGAAAAATGCATTATTTTTAACTTTTTAATAAACATACAAATTTCTAAACAGAAAGTTTGAATTCAGTGCTAATTAATTCAATTTTCAATCTTCTATTTTGCTTTTTTCTGTTTTTATTTTATTTTTTATTTTTATGTTTTTGGATATTTTATAATATCCACCAATTAAAAATTGTTATGCATATTTTATGAATAATTGTTTAATTTTCATCTTATAAATATTTTATATGGCATTCTATAACATAAACATGTTACTCTTAATTCGTAATATTTTTACTTTAAAATATTTTATACTTAGATAGATTTTTAAATATTTTTAATTTATTAACTATTATTTTATTATATACTAAAGCATTTTATATTATTATTTTTGAAATTGTAATGCATTATCTTTTGAAGTTTTAGTGCATTTTATTCTAAATTTTTTGAAATTAAAAGTCTTTCTTTATTATACATTTATAATGTATTAAATTCATATTTGTTATAACTATAAATAAGTTATTGCTATTATCAGTTGGACTCATAAGCGTAAATAAGCTTTTAAGTTTTAATGGAATTTAGAGGCTCGCTTAAAACAATTCCTTATTAAATGACCTTTATGTATATATACTAAATTTTCTCACAAAAATAAAATCACTATTAAAAAAACTCCGGTTAACATAGAGCCAACAAGATCACCTTGTTAAATTGACGATATTTGTATTAGTTTGATAGTATTATACATGTGTATAATAAATTAATTCAAAAAATTAATTTTAAGGTATCTTTGATATACATTAAAGATAAATTTATGTATCATATAAATTAATATGACAGAAGTAATATATAATTCTACTTTATTTACTTACTATTTTCCATCTTTTTCCATTGTAACAATTTATTTATAAATATTATACAATATAATACGTATGCCAATGATAAAAGGCTAAGATCTAAATTCCCTAATAATTATCAAAAAATGATCAAAAATGACTTTTTACTACTTTAATACCCTTAAAAATAATCTAAAATTATAAAATATAACCAATTCAAAAGTACATATTTATATATTTCAGGAAGTTTTATAATTTTAAATTAAACAAATTTGATCAAAAATTTAAAATGACTTATCAGTAATTAGTGATTATTTTTGTTGGTAAACAATATCATCTTGGGGCTATATTATTCATTGTAAGCAATCAATTATTCAAAAATATAAAACTAAGATTAAGTTACATTATGTTAAATTATAATCATTACATTAATCCTAAAAAACATTTCATAAGATAATATTCTAAACTAGTACTTATTAAGTTATATATTTATTAACTTTAAAATTGTAATATGTTGTTTTAAGACAAAAGCATTTTGCATTAAAATCTAAGCTCTAAATATAAATATTTAACTATTAGTTAAAAGTTCAATTTTTATCTTCAAAATTCTCGAAAAAATGGGTGATTATAAACTCCGCCAGAATACAGGTTAAGATAAAACGGTAGTAAAAGATCTAATATAAACTCCGCCAGTTTTTTTTTTTTTTTGTTTAGCTACTCAGTGCTCACATTGTCTCGTGTCTTCTCACATTAAATACATTGACATATATTGCGATGATATATACTAATGGAGTAGTAATACAAGACTTAAAATAATTACAAATTGTAACACATCATTTTAGTTTACATACATGACATAACTATATATTTTTGTATTATTAGGTATAACGATTATTTATTATGATTTTTTTAGTATGATTTAAATATTTAATGTGAACGATATAATGATATGATATTATATTATAATTTTTTTTTTTAATAATATATTATATTAATTTTATACTACTAAATACTAATTGATTTTCTTCAATGGCGGAGTTTACATGAGCTCAATTTTACCTGATTTTTTTCAGTGGCGGAGTTAACATGCGTCAAAAATATATTCTGCTTATAAATATGAAATTAAAAAAGCAAACGATTTTAAAAATTAAGTTCAATGATAAAAAATATATTTTTTTTCAATACATAGATCTGGTACTTAATGACTTAAAATTATACACACAAATAAAAAAAAAAAAAAATTTCAAATATGTTATTAATTTAAAAGTTATATAATAATAGTTACTGTTAAAAGGGTTAACCTGAATTTAAGTTTTTAGCTCTCTAATCACTTTCTAATAATTAATAGCAGATATCTTTAATGATATTATAAGTCATACTACAATAACTATGATACTATTGCTATTTTTTGCAGAATGATGAGAAACATAAATGACAAACATTGATATTCATTTTTAAAATAATAGTATGATAGAAATTAATTGTTTTCTTTTTTTATTTCCATGTATGAAATGCAACCGTTTCTCTGTCAAAATTTCTGGGACCTTCGTGTTAATTTGAAATTTGAATATCCAAATACTATGCCATAGTGAATCATTCACAATATTATATTGAAATATTTGCAATGCATATGCTTAGTCACCAGGAAGACTATAACGATCATATCGATGTAAAAATATCATTATATTATACTCTAAATCAGTGTTTTTTAAAAAATTTTATCCATGGAACCCTTTTTAATGTTCACTTTTATCGTGAAACCCTTACTTTTTTTTTTAGCTTTTTAGCTTCTTTTAAAATTATTGAAAACAAAAATTATAATTATTTCACATAATAACAATGTGTTAAAGGTATTTAATTCAAAAATGCATGTTAAAATAAAAATAATAATAATTGTATTTGTATATATTAATACTTAAATTACTTAAATTAGACAAAATTTTAATTCTAATGAGATAAGTGAAATTGCTTTTTATTATTACAAATATTTTTAATATTGAGCTTTATTGATGAAAGTTGTGCAAATATTTTTTTCCCCACTAGTCACTACTAATCTTTAATTAGATATTTTAAAATAATTTTTCTGAAAATTTTGAAAAAAATTACTTGAGTATCGCGAAATCTTAAGGTGATTTCCTCCGCAGTTCCGCGGAACGCAGCTTAAAAAACGCTGCTCTAAATTGCTCCGGCGGATTAACAAAACTATTAAACACCTAACCTCTATACAAAATATGTAAACAATTAGCAATCATTGTGTATAAATGCATTTTATTATTTATTACGTTTTAAATTTCTCAACCATGTAACGCTGTATACAATAAGCATAGGTACTCTTTCAATCCCAATGACTTCTTAAAAGTTATCTGCAGGTCAACACAGCCTAAAGAGCAGGGATAATGAGTTCAAAATTAAATTCTTAATACATTTAGGTGTTGATGCATTGAAATTATTATTTCGTCATTGGCGATTAATCATTGTCGATATTCCTGAAGGTTACTTTTTCTTCAAACAATATAATATTGAAATCAATTTGTTATAAATTAAATGAAATTATGAATAGTATAGTTTACTCAATTATAATGTATCAATAATGTTTATTTAATTAGGTAAATTTAATAGCGGTCACACACAAAATACGATCCCAGCGTGTAATTTTATGAAATAATACATTTGTATAGTTACACTTCTCTATAGATCCACCACATCTAATTTTCAATGTTAATTTTTTAATTTATTATACTTTCAAGTAAGAAATTTATTGTTTTTGAACTTGTTAATCGTACTAATTTTAATAGTA